CATTTTATTTTAGATTAATATTCCTCTCCAAGACGGTGCTGGTCGTGCAAAAAAGTTTAATGCCGTACTTAAATATAATAATGAATGTGAAACTTACCAAATGGCTGAATATGTCAAAAAGAACTCAAATCAACGTTGGGGTGATGATATTCAGAATAACCTTCGCATTCTTAATGCTTATATTAATTCAGATGTTAGAGCACAATATCTTACACATGGAAGAAAACAAATTTTTCCAAAACCTGAACCTAGAAATCGTTTGTTTTTGCCGGGTGGAATCGAACTAATGCTTGGTTTCTTTCAAAGTATTCGTCCTGGATGGGGTATTATCATCTTTACTCATTTATATATATATATTTTTTTAAATAATGTATTTGTCTAACAAGTTTTTTCTTTAATATAGAAAAACTACATATTAATATTGATATATGTGCTACAACATTTTATCCATCTGGTCCATTAATCGATTTGATCCCTAAAATCCTTGCAAATGTAAAATCCAAAGATGAATTACGACGTGGACTTAATCATAATGAAATCGAATTACTTGAACATTTTCTCAAAGGCCTTAATTTCACTACAACATATCGTTCTACCAATAATACAAAACCAAAAAAGAAAGTTTCTTATATTACTAAAAAATCTGCTCAAAATCTTATGTTCAATTTTGAGGGACAAAATCTTAGTGTTAGTCAATATTTTAGTAATTCAGAAACGCCATTAGAATTTCCTATGCTTCCATGTGTTGCTGTCGCGGCAACTAAACGTGGGCAAAGTGATGCTTATTACCCTTTAGAGGTTTGTTCTTTAATATCAGGCAAGTTAGTTATTTTATATATTTTGAGAATTTTATATTATATATTATCTACTGTAGTATACTTAATATAATTGAAAATGTTTAGGTCAAAAATTTAAAGTGAAAAGCCTTGATAAGGATCAAAGAATAGATATGATAAAAAAGACAGCTATTTTCCCATCTAATCGATTTGAAAGAATCACTAGTGCTCGTAAAAATATATACAAACACTCGGAAAATGATGCGATGAAATCAATTAGTATGGAAGTTGAAAATGATTATCTAACAACTATATGTGAATATTTATAATTTTTCTTTTGAATTGTATTATGGGCAATGTTATATATTCTGTTAACTTATTCGAATTAAATTTTTAGCGAGAGTTCTTAAGCCGCCACCACTTACTTGTACTCCTGATAATACAGAAATTATTATTCCTGAATCGGGTTCATGGAGTGTTTCTAAATTTATCACAGTAAATATTTATAATGCAATTATTAATATATCTTAAATTATAATATACTTATATACATGTATATATTTTTTTCATACATTAGCCGGCAAGATTACATAGTTGGTCTGTCGTTTGTTTCGATCCAAAATTAAAAAAAGAATATGTTGAGGCTGCAATGAGATGTTTATTAGAAGTTTTAATTGGAAAGGGATTGGTATGCTTATCATTAATAATCATTAATAAAAATCATTAAGAATATTTTAATAATATTAATAAACTGTTCACACTAATTTTATAAACATCATTATTTTTCATTTTTTAGAGAGCTAGCGCACCTCTAAAAATTATGCAGGGAAATTCTCAAAATTGCAAAGCTGTAAATATTATTAC